TCCACAGCATTATACAGCCAACAGGGAGGAACTGAGGTGGTCTTAGTTGTCAAACTTGGCTCCTAATGTGTTAATCTTGAATTTCTGTCACTTCATTAATAGTCAACAAGCAAATGGAGTTTTGGAAAAACATAGGTTTTAGGTTCATTTGAAGTACAGAAGATAATTTTAAATGATGTTTCTGGTAAATGTGGTAGGAAAGATTTGTAAAGACAGTTTCCTCTAGATGAAATTTCTAATATATAGTCAACATGCCATCTGAAAATGTAATCATGAAGAAAAAATATCCCTAGAAGCTGGCAAGAAGATATTGCTCAAACTTTAGTTAATCCTTGTAATGTAGTTATTGCCTGTGACCGTGTAAGTTTCTTCATGGACAGAGGTTTTAACAGCTCAAGCTCCTCTTAAAATAGTTTCAGAGGAGGTAGTGGTGATGTTTGAGGGTACATTAATTATTGCTCTTACTGGTGTTTGCACAGGCAGCTGAGATCATAAATGCCAGTCTGTCAGTGTGATGGGTTCTTTATGAAAAGGAAAAAAAAAAAACAAACGCCTAACAGAGTGCTTCAAAAGCTGTCATCAATCCCGAGATCAAACAGATCCATCTCATTCTTGAAGCAAACAGCACCAGAGGAGGGAGGGTTTCTCTTGCTACTCTACCATCTCTTCCTTCCTCCATCCCTGTAATATTTTCTCAGCCCACACCTCTGTTGGGTTTAGAGCTTCCCGCCCTCTCCCCAGAATGCCATGAAAGGGCCATTGTTAGTGAAGCCATGCACATACAGCCTGCAAACCCCTCAGTGGCAGGTGAATGAGAGAGGGATTCAGATCTGACAGTCATAACAACATTGATTTGGAAAAATTTTGAGGGGAGAATGTGAGTAATGAAGATAAGAACAGTGACAGTAAGAAACAAGCTTTAGTTTCCTTTCAAGACATAGCAGAATTTTTAAGAATGCTGCTCTGCTGCTGCTTGTTTCCAGACAAGTCTCTGTTTTCAGTCTTGTTCAGCTGAATTACATTGTTCTCTCATTTGAAATGGGACTTCAATAGAGTTACTACAGTTAGAAGAATCTCCATCATTGGATACAGATTAGAAGAACCTGTGTCTCTTAACACTGAGTTAATATGACAATGACAGAGTGACACTGGCAGTTATCTTGCTGAATGATTTCTTTGGGAAATTTTGGGGCTGTCTCATCTCTATTGTTTTTCTTCATTTCTGCAGAAAAGTTTTACTATTTTTGACACTGCAGGTAAAAGGAAACCATTCTTTTCTTTTTTTTTTTCCTCAGACTGGAAATTTGTTGGTTTTGGGTGTAATACTAAAATGTAAGTTGAGTGTGGAAAATGTTTCTTAAAAGCAAAGTAAGAAATCCCTCTTGTTGACCAAACCATCCTTCTAATCAAAGCTAGTGTCAGTCACCTGCTGAAAGAATCCTCTTCTCTGTAGCCATTTTTTATTGTTTAATATTTCACACTGTGAAATTACACTTGAGTCCAATTGCAGCACTTCACCCTTGTCCTGGGGTGGGTTTTTTTTCTGCAATCCAGGTAGTAAAGCTTTGCAGGACCTTTTTGCTCTACGTCTGAAGTTTTAATGTTGCAAGATTCCATTTGCCGGAAGATTTATGTTGCATCCTGTATTGCTTGGGTTATTATTGTGGAAGGCAATGTGAACTAGAAGAAACTCCTGCATGACTGAAACTAGAAGTTCTGATTTCTAATCTGTGCTCTCTCCTCATTCTTTGTACATGCCCATGAGAAGATGTGAGCATGGGTGCTGTTGGTCTGTTTTGTAATGAGTGTTAGCTGGTGCTTGTGTGTTCAAGGCTCTGTACAGCCAGAGATCAGATAGCTGGCAGTGTCCCCAATAGTCAGGCTATTTTTGCCTCAGTTTAACATTGTTCAATTTATGGAAAAAAAAAAAGCATTTTAAACAATCAGATACCTAAATTTTCATTTCTGTCATATTAACCAATTTATGTTAATATTCAGTTAGTCACTACCAATTAACAGGAAATGTATAATTAAATATTCTAATTATAGAACTACTAGCCTGACTTGGAGTAGCTGTTTTTCTCATTAAGGCATATGGTCTCATTACTGGATTAGAGACTGGTTGACTCATATACATGAACAGGGGTATGAACAGGGGTACACCCTCCTGCATTCAAGGCCAGGCAGCTCTTCATGTGCTCTGAAAGCAAGTGCCTGTGTCATAGGACTGCTGCCTTGGACTATGAGTTGGGATCCCTGTGGTCTGCTTAGAGGATCTTTCTCTTGGGTCATCTTCTGCAGAGATGTGATTTAAGCCAGGACTAGTTCCATGATTGTATTAATTCAATATGCACTATTTTCTTTTCCTTGTCAAGGCTCCTGCACTGCCAGGCACGCAGAGGTGAAGCATGTTACATACTGAATGTTGGTTTAGGCCTAATAGATGTATTTTATAAGGTGTAAGTTGTCATTTACAACATTGATCAAAAAGAAGGCTGAATTGAGGCACACATCAGATAAAACTATTGCAGCTTAATAAAAACTTACCACCTATACAGGTGTGTATAGTTGTGCAGAAAGCAGCTTGCTTTTCTATTCCAAGTGAGATGTGGGGACTTTGTACTTACTGAAAAGCCAGGCACGCTTTCAGCATATCTTAAGAGCAGTATGACAGAAACAAAGTAGACCCAAGTGAGCTAAGTTGTATATTCATAATGGCTGTAATATTGGTGTCCAATAACTGGAAAAACACTGTGAGGTGAAGTCTGAAACACAGGTAAGAAAAATTGATTAGTATGTGAGGAACCAGGGCAAGTTAACAGAGCATACCCTGGAATGGTATTGCTAGTCTTGACTTCATTAGATATTTGGTCAAGAAAAGGAATGATACTGATAAGCAGCGGATCAGATAAGATCACTGAAATAACAAGGATACGGACAATGTTTTAGTCATGATGGTTAACTTTTCCTGGCTAATCCAGGACAGGTAACACAAAGTAGGCATGTTTTCCATAAGCTCAGGACATCATACAATGGATGCTTAAAGGTAAAAACATGCTCAGTAGAATCATAGAATGTCTTGGGTTTAAGGGACCTCTAAAGTTCATCTATTCCAACGCCCCTACAATTGACAGGGACATCTCACACTAGACTAGATTGCTTAGAGCCCTGTCAAGCCTGACTTTGAATGTCTCCAGGGATGGGGCTTCCACCACGTCTCTAGGCAACCAGTTCCAGTGATCTACCACCCTCATATAAAAAAAAATTCCTAATGTCCAACCTAAATCTACCCTTCTATAGCTTAAAACCATTGCCTCTTATCCTATCATTGCATGCCCTTGTGAACAGGTCTTCCCCAGCCTTCTTATGACTCCTTTCAGGTGTCAAAAGGTCACTCTGAGGTCCCCCTGGAGTCTTTCTCTTCTACAGGCTGAACAACCCCAACTCACTCAGCGTGCCTTCATAAGGGAGGTGCTCCAGCCATCTTGAGAATTTTTGTGCCCCCCCTCTGGACATGCTTCTATAGATGCACATCTTTCATGTGTTGGGGACACCAGAGCTGGATGCAGTACTCCAGGTGAGGTCTCACCAGGGCAGAGTAGAGGGGCAGAATCATTTATCTCAATCTGTTGGCCACACTTCTTTTGATGCAGCCCAGGATGCAGTTGGCCTTCTGGGCTGCAGTTGCACATTGGTGGTTCGTGTCCAGCTTTTGATCCACTAATACCCCCAGGTCTTTTTCCACAGGGCTGCTCTCTAGCATGTCTTGCCCCAGCCTGCATTGATACATTTTTTTTCTGAAAAGATACAGTTACTGTTTATTTATTGATTAATGTTTTAATGGATGGTTTTAACTGAACTAATACTTTTTTTCCTTTATCACTCTGTTGCACCAGAATGCTGACTGATTGCAATAATGGCTTCCAGCAGTTAGTCTCCTTGTAATGCTACTAAAAAATTAAAAATGAGTACAGTTTGGATTACATTTATTTGCAGCTTCTATTAAACACAGAATTGATTCTGCTATGCACATGCTTGGCAAGGGAAAAGGCCTTTTTCTAGCCTGACCTGACTCAGATTGCAAAGCAGCTGATCTGCTGAAATCCACTGCCTCTGACATGCCACAAAAGGCTTGGGCATCCCATGTTCCAGACACTACTGTGCATTTTGCATGCTCCTCTGAAGTCCCTGTCAACATACTCTCCATTGTAAAAGGGGTGTTGGGGGAAGGCACAATGCTATCTATAGTAACACTTTGCTGAACTTTAACTTCTTAATATTTTCCACACGCTCTTTCCTTATAAGCTGAAATTGATAGTTATTAATGCAAACAGTATTCTGACTAAATATCTAGACATTTCTGAGCACTTTGAATTCATAGCATGCATGTACAGGTTGGGCTTATTTTGTTTGGGTTTGTACTGTTGGTGTATACTAATTTACATTTAAATTGTTATCCACGTGGAAAGAGAGGTAAGCACGGTATGGTGCTTTCATGTGCCGCCTTCAGTCGTGAGAGATGTTGTTCACATGCTGTGCCTTAAAAATCTCCCTCCTGCCCAGGGAGAAAATAGGTCGAATGTGTGTTCAGTTGTTTTTCATCAGCAGCCTCCTTCAGTTAGTTTGTGCAGGGAGAAGGAAGGAGATGCACAGGAGAAACTAAATGAGAGGACAGATGAAGCCTGCAGTTGTTTAGGATGTTGTGTACTCTACATGTGTCTGTCTGTGACCCAGCCACGGCTGGAAGGAAGCTAATCAGTTCGTTTTCTATTCAGCATTGCCAGCAGGAGGGCTTCTTACAGGGAACAAACATAATTTGTCCTTTACTTGATGCTCGTTTTGATTGTTAAGAAAAATGTGTATATGCAATAGAATGGGAAGTATCACGCTGCTTGGTGGTGACCCCAGCTGAAAGCAATATACCTTCAATCTGCCCAAAGGGATGCCTCAGCAAGGAAGTTCTAATATTTTTCCTAAAATATTTATTGTGAATACAACAGATTCACAGTCGGAGAGTGAGGCTTCTCCTGTGAAACGGCCGCGGCTACTGGATGACAGTAATGACAGGCCTGAAGAAACCAGTCGATCCAAACAGAAGAGTAGACGCCGATGCTTCCAGTGCCAAACAAAACTGGAGCTAGTACAGCAGGAACTGGGATCATGTCGCTGTGGTGAGTACTGTTTGTCAGTAGCGTCCAGCTTTCTAACGCAGCCATGCTCAGATCCATATCAGAGGTCAAAATACAGAGAAGACCTGTGTTTTGTATCTTTTAACGATACTTTAAACAGAAGCTACGGCTTCCACTGGTAGTAAAAAGTTATAATTAGTTCCTGTCTAATTTCCCCTTTAAAACTTTGGCCTTGATGTATGTACTGCGTTGTCTCAAGAGATCTCGGATGTTAATGAATTGAGCTTCTGAAGTCTATGTAAGGCAGGAGAGTGTTGTACCCACTTGACAGGAGAAGAAGCACAAAGCACATCAGTAAATATGCAAAGAGAGCAAGGTTTTTACAGAGCTTAAAGGAACATAGGTCACTATATGCATTCTGCATTTTATAGTTACATTATTATTAAAAAGTTAAAACAAAAAAACCCCTCTAACAGAAAATGTTTTCATTCTCACAGTTGTTGAGGGGGGGAAGACTTGTTCATCATATACTTAAAGTCATCCAACCTGCCACTTCCAAAGTCAATGTCATTCTACTGCTAATTGAATTGAGGATGATAATCTCATGCAGACATCTGATTTGGGGTTTCTTTTCCATGTAAATAATCTTTCTGAAATAATAATTAATGTGACTGGATTCCAAAGGAAATGCTCGCTCCTTCATGGAATAATTCTGCTCATAACTCGTTTCAGTGTGCTTATCAGACCCTGTGATAAATGCACATGGTAATTTTACCTGCTAATTATTTTTTCATAGAATCATTAATTGAAAGTTTACACTTCCACTCTCTGACCATGTTTGTATTGATACATTTGGAGAAGTTTGTTTAGTTACTTTATTGTGTCTCAGCGGGGGAACGGTTTCCTAAGGATTTGTGTAGACAATAAATGCAATTCACCTTGCACCTGTGAAATGTAGGACAGTGTATTAAAATGTTTTCTGGACAGAAGGTGTGTCCTTCTGAGCAGCAGTGGGGAGAGAAAGGATTGGCTAAGCTAATTACAAAGAACCAACTAATGAATTCCATACTGAATACCTAATATTAAGTAAAAACAAGGTGACATCATTAATGTTTACAAATATATTAAGGGCAAGTGTCTGGAGGACAGAGCCAGGCATTTTTCAGTGATGACCAGTGATAGGACATGGGGCAGTGGGTGGAAACTGGAACATAGGAGATTCCACATAAACATCAGAAAAAACTTCGTTCCTGTAAGAGTGACAGAGCACTGGAACAGGCTGCCCAGAGAGGCTGTGGAGTCTCCTTCGCTGGAGACATTCAAACCCCACCTGGACACGTTCCTGTGTGATGTACTCTAGGCGACCCTGCTCTGGCAGGGGGGTTGGACTGGATGATCTTTCAAGGTCCCTTCCAACCCCTAGGATTCTATGATTCTTGTGAGAGAAAGCTGCAAAGGTGACACGTACATTTAGTTAGTTTCTTTCAAATTTTCTTGAAGTAGTTCCATAATTCAACAGTGTGGCAATATAAATGTTGTAGGAATTATTCTTTAAATTGTTCCTACTGGATGTATGAATCTTTATTGAAATATTTTGGTTGAAGTTCATAAAATGTGTTAATAAAGCATGAAGGTGAAACAAAAAAATCCTGAGCTCCTCAGCAGTAAATGAGGAAATGAAAAATTGCCTTCCTGCATTACATATTACATCCTATATGGTTTAGAGGATATATATAATAAATATTTATATTCCACATATTTAATGAGAGAAGTGAAAGGCAGAAGTCTATTTCTATATTTCAAAAATGGCTTAAAAGACTGGAGGACTTTGGTTTATCTGGGCATCTATAAGGTTTCATTAATCCTGTTTTCACTACATCTGCTATCTATAATGAAATGTGATGTGAAAGTAGGTGTTTTTTTGATCAGGACTTTGGACCACTGCTTTTAAATTCTTGGCATCTTAATACTTAATTGAACAAATGGGAAAAAACATGGAAACAAGACCTTAACTTTAAACATTAACAGGAATTTTGATAGTCAGAATCAATAAAAAGGCAGACACGATCTTTAGAAGGACAAATGTGCCTGTAAGCTTGGATATAAGGAAAAACGATGAACCACATAGATATTATGTTGTTCCAAAGCTGTGTCTGAATACACTGTTGTTAAAATCCAAATTAACTCTTTTAAGACTCCACAGAACAGCATTTTTATTGTTTGCTGTTACACATCTTCTTGTCCTGATCTTAAAAGTACTAGAAATCATGTTTTTGCTGATGTGTCCTGGTGACATTTACAGTAACGTTTTTAGCGGGACATAGAAGGAAAATCTATACATACTGGACAATGTCATAATACACCAGCAGTTACTAATCCACTGTAACTGAGGCTTGTGCAGTGGAGCACGACCTTTTTAAATGGGGACAGAGAAGGTGGGCTGCTGCTTTACGTCAATGTGGAGATCTTTGGGAAACTGCCATACTAGCTCTGCTGTCTCCTATATCCTGTCCAGAGAGAGGTGATGCTGCTGAGCTTGTTCCCTTGACACAACATAGAATTTTAGACAGACTTGACAGAGCTTTTCCATGAAGGAAAACAATTCACCATTGAGAAGGGAGTTCCAGTAAAATTCAAACAACATTTTTCAGATGTAGAAAGAGTTGTTTTTTTTCATACATGCAGACTCTCAAAATCTTCTTTAAGTCTGCTTCTACTATGTACAAGTTAGTAACTGCTGACAAGAAATTCACTTCTCATAAATAATGCTTAAGAGCCATTGCTATATAAATTGAATGTGTTATGAATCGTGATGGGCCTTTTTGTAGCATTTTGTGCCTGGAGCAGGAAGAACAGAGGATGTCATTTTCATTAATTTCTAATGAGGTGCCAATTAAAGGCAAGGAAGGAACTCAGAAGGGAAGAGTCACAGAGCTCCCCTGAATCCTGTACCCTGGGGCTGTCAAATGAGTGTGCTGCCAAGCCTCCTCTGGAAGTTCCAGTGAATTACAAACTCATCCAGAGCGCACACAGACAAATTCAGTTTCCCTTTGATCATCAAAAGAGCAATTTGTAAGATGAGTTCACAGCGAACTGGGAAAAGTGATAGGAATTGTTCATTGTTGATGCACTTTGCAAGCTTCAGTGCGAAAGAGAAATTTTAAAATGAATTCTCATTTTGTGCCTCTCTGACTGAATAACCTTAAAATCAACACTACTAGAACAAAGCCAGCTTCCTCTGAAATGTTTCTAGGTGACAGTTACACTAGGTATGTTTTCCAGACAGAAATGTTCTAAAGTTTTGAGTGGACCTTACAACAGTTCAGTGTCTTATGATGGATAACAATTCTATTGTAATAATATATTTATGTTATCAGAATTAGTAGGCAGTTATATCATCAAGGAATTAGAGGAATCATATTCTTCAAGTTACATTCTACTATAGCATTTCTACTGGAAGGGTGAACAGCTTGCCTGTGATTCTTGATCTGAAAATTGTCAGTTCAGTGATGTGATAAGCAGGTTACAGGCTACCACAGACTTGCTTGAAAACTATGGGCAGCAAAAATTTTTGAGTTAAAGTAGCTATATAACACAGAGTTCTGGAAATGTATTTTAGAAAAAAGGTTGATTATTTGCAAATTACACTTGAAATTTATGGTCTGTGTTTTAATTACTTAACTAGATGTATAGCACTACTAAATAAAGTGGTGTGTATTTTTTAAAGATACTGAGCTGTAATCCTCTAAGCCATAGAAATTATTTGCACAGAAAGCATCGCTTAGTTTTAAGTTTTAGTATTTCACAGCAAAAAGTAGCTCTGTTAACACTTGTGTAAAACCAACATACATAAATCTGCAATGGTCTTTAATATATTTGGAGTTGCATAAATTGGATTAAGATATTCTAGATGACCAGTATTTCACATCTGTTATGTTAGATGCAGCCGTAGTCAGCAACTAAAGAAAAATTGGTACAGTGTGCCAGCTCTTCAGCAGCTTTTTTTGCAGAATGTTTGCAACTGTAGGCCACATCCTAGTAGACATGTCTGTAGCTCAGGCTCCTACTATCCAAAACTTTTGACAGTCAATGGGGTGACCAAGTTAATGAGCCCAGGGAAATAAACCTAGCTTTAGCTTTCAGTAACTGTGCCTTAGAGACATGTTGCCAATTTGTTTGCATGCTTCTCTGGTAGGAATCTCAAGTTTTTTTAGTGTTCTTTGGCCGGAGTAGATGGGAACATGGGAAGATGTTGAAACCTTGCAGTTTCATCAGCCTGTATTAAAAGACAACTGCTCAGTTGTGGTGCAACCTGACCAAACAGCTGCTAGCAGAATTTCTTGCCTGTGTGGAAAGAAAATATTTTTGGGGGAGTTTTACTGGCCTAAGTTGTGTTGCCACAAGTTGTAATTTCCTAGAATGCTGACAGATTCGGGCAGTTATGTATTTGTTGCTGCTCTTGATGGAGACTCTACAGTACCTACCAACTTCAGGCATGGGTGAAGGCAAACTATGTTGCTTTGCAGCTTTTATTTGTGAGGTGTTGGCAAGTACCGATGTTTGTCTGGTTCTTGATTAGAAGGGATGCTCAGTCACAAGTGGCCTCTATAGTGAGGCTCCAGGCTTTGAGTCTGGAAACAAGAGTCTCACTTGGTCAGTTAGACAGTGAGTGCTGCCTCACTGTGCTGCATGTGTGGAATGAGAGCACAGGACATTGTTGGAGCACACCGTGGCCTGCACCTTTATAAGGGCATAACTTTCCTTCCTGATTAGTTAGGAACTTTATGTGGTTTATAACTTTGTCTACGTACATCATTGTCCACTCCTTATTGTGACTGAGATCTAACTACTAAAGCATATTTCTAGAAAGAGGATCCAAATTTCAGTTGTTGTAGAATACAGTTATTGGAGATGGTGCTAAATGTGACTTCAACACAAACTGGATAAATGCCATGTTAAATTTTTATTAGTTGGTGAAATGCCTCATCAAGATATGGTGAAAGTGGGTAAGATTGTCGTGATAAAGTGTTTCTAGTTGTAAC